TCAGTCTTTGATTCTGCAGAGCAAAATGAACAAATCAAAATGTTCAGGAGGCTGGCTTTCGGAAGCCAGGATTACAGTACCAGTTATTTCAACGAGTCTCACAGTAGCTGGGGAAGTAGAGATCAGGAGCACCAGACCACTACTTCCTTCTCCCAAAATAGGTCCGGACCTTGGAACGTATAAAGAGATCTTCTGTACTTGAGAGGAATCAAACTAGAGAGGGAGAGAGGGGGGGAGAGAGGAGTGGATCCTACCTCTAAACATGTAGGACCCACTATTATCTGTCTGTCCCTCTTTAATCTCATCGTGAAGTACTTCAGAGGATCTCTTCCTACCATGTACCCAAGGTAGCTGATAATGCTGATGCTTTCTCCAGAGAAGTTGAAGCATCTCTTGATTCAGATGATTTACACGCAGCATACCCACGTTTTCTGTAAATTTGATAGTATCATTATTGTTCTTATTCTTATTCTTATTCTTTTGGTTCTTTTCTTTTTGTTGTTTTCTCCCCATTTTGACATGGTTTTGCTTGCCATAACCTTTATTTTTTTGGTACTATAATATCAAATCTCTTGCATATCACTCCATACTCTCACCATTTCGTATCACATATTTTATGGTTAAGCTATAATCTTCGTATTATTTTATATTTGATTTATTTATTTCACGGTCATGTCACATATGATTCGCATTGTATTTATTCTTCATTGATTGAGGTAAATACGTTTAGTGACTTGAAGTATGAATTTGATCAAACTATTAAATTTATTAACATTATTAATTAAATAAATTTACTGGGTATCGGGAATATCATTATTGGGACGCATTCAGATGAAAGAAACATTATTGACACAAATTCTGATAGTAGTGAATTATGATAATACAAAAGTTATAACTTGCATGTGGGACAACATAAGTATTACAGCACATATGGTACATTTATATAAAATATTTTATGAAAAAAAATTAGCACAGAAAAATATTATTATACAATATAGTTTAATGCAATAAATGTCAGCAAATCTATACACAGTGGATAGCATAGCTTTTCTTTCAAATACAAAAAGCAAATAAAATGTCCCCTTTTATTTGAATACTAGTATTATGTAATATATGTTATCATATTTAAATACTGTAAAAACAAAACTGTCCAGCAACTACTTTAGGATTCAACCAAAAAAAAAAAAAAATCATCCCTTGGTTGACTTATTCTTCTTCAATGGAGTCTCCGGTGCCGAAGCACGCGGCTCGTGTGTGGGTAAGAATCGTCCCAGAAGCCAGGCCACGGCGACGGCAACGACGGCGCCCAATCCGCAAACGGAAAACAATCCCAAAGCCAAAACCGACAGAACCACGGCGGCCGGTACCATATGGGGCTTGACGCGACAATCAACACCCACAGGATGGTCACACCACACACACTTCCGGTGACGATGAGGCCGATGAGAGCGAGTAGCTCAGCTCCAGCAATCAGAGAGCGGCGGAGAGGAAACGATACAGGGATGGGGGACGTGAAGACGCTTACGAGTTTGGCTGGGTTATGAAGTTGCCCTAGAATGAAGGTGACAGGGTTGTTAATGGCTAAGGAAAGAAGCTTTGAACGGTCTATCTGATGAATTAGTGGTGTTGTCTTTGAGGACATGGTTGAAAGAATGAATGCTTGAAGATAGAAAAGAGTTTAAATTCTATACGTATGTATGATGAGGTTTCTGTGGGAAGTGAAGTTTTTCAATGACGAATTTGGGAGGAAAGAGGTTGTGTTTTTTGGCTTAGGATTAGAATGGGTAGGCATAGTTATGGAAAAAATACAGGAGGGATTTATACTATTTTTACTTAAGGTTTCTCTTTGAGGGAATATTCTTAGTATTTCTTAGGTCAAAGATGCATATATTATTAAAGAAAAATTGATATATTTAATTTTATACTCTCCCCATAAAAATTGTAAGATATTTTTTGAAAAGTTGAATGTTAAAAAATGTAAGGATTTTTTAATTTTTTAAATATAATCATTATTTTTTATTTCAAAGTGTTCTATTATGAATGACTTTATATTTATTATAGGTATTTTTTATAGAGATAATATAAAAAGATAAGTAGTTAGGAAGTAAGTAACTATTTTATTAAGGTGAGGTTTGGTTAAAAATACTTTATATTTTTGAATGAAAGAAATATATTTAATGTACTTATTTTTTTCATCAAAACACATGGATCTTTTATAGATTAATTATCCTATAATAAATTCTTTTTTTTAATTTATTAAACACATTAAAATTCTCTTTTCATAATTTTGATTAAATAAGTATATTAAATATATGAGACTAAATACATAAATCTTACTCTATCATTGATAATGATATATTAAAAAATAGAGCAGATCATAGTTATCAAGGCATTGCAAAATATAACTGACTGTTCACACAAGATCAAACAACTTAAAATCCTGTTTAAAGTGTATAATAGATACATTGAAAGAGAAAGAGAAGGAGAGAAAGAATAAATACTACAAGAGGGGTCCTCGTTTTAGGATGAGTTTTCCTCAATCGCTTCCTCCTTGTTCATGGTGTGGGGAGGCTACTGTCAAAAAGAACAACTCAATTGTCATAATTTACCTCATAATAAAGGGAATTAATGTGATGGAATATTCACAATAATGTAGGGAAAGATATCATTTGTTTTGAACAATCAAGAATTAATTCATTATTATTCTAAATTCCAATCAACTGTAATTAATTTATAATGGTCAAATTTTCACAATTTGTCTCAACACAATGACCCGATCCCCATCAAAAGATGGATAAGTAAATTCTAGGATGTTTTTCTTAATACAGTTGGCCTAATGCTGGGTAATACAGTAATTCTCTCACTTTGGGTTAAAGGAATCTTTGGTTTGAGAATGACGGGAGACCAAAAGACATTCAAGATTGAAAAAATTTCTGCAATACTTGTGCCTAAAGTTGTTTGGTTCTTTCTTAGAGAGGTATGGAGCGTGAATAAAAAAATAATCATATTATATTTAATTATTCATTGACATTCAAACTGATGATTACACAGTGCAGAGATGACACTATATATACAGTGTAAGAGTGCTGCAGGTGAGGAAAAAGAGATACAACATTCTAAAATAACATTGGAAAAATGACAATGAAGCCCTTATAAGAGGATTTATTACAATAAAAACCTATTAGCTTTGTGTCAGATATTATATCATGCGAAAATACATATATGTTGTTATTAAAAGCTGAATTTCAACTTGTATTTTTTGTTAGAACTTCCTTAAAAATTTAATAAATTAAGATTTAGTTTTTAACAATATATACATATTATTGCAAGAAAATATCTGATGTAAAACTAATAGGCTTTTATTGTGATAAATTTTGTTAAGAAGATCTTAAATATCATTCTACCTAAATATTAAGTGATCAGTCTTAGCATCAGTGCGTGGTCTAAATAGAAACCTTGGGCTTGACGTTATTGGGCTTGGAGTGATTCAGATTGGACTTTATCTTCAAAAGCCCCCCCTCAAGTTGAACAGCAGAGGAAGGACAGTGAGGCTTGATTTTAAAAATTCAAAGCGAGCAGCAGGAAGGGCTTGGTAAAAATATCAGCAATCTGATCTTTGGAGAAAAGAAAAGTATAGGAAGTTTTTGGCCACAACTCTTTCTCTAACAAATTAAAGTGGTAATCCAACTCAACATGTTTAGTGTACGAGCATGCATGATGGGCTTGGCAGAGAGATATGTAGCACCAATATTATCACAGCAAGATATCCCCCCAATTCCTTTAGCAAATATTGAACCCAGATAAGGTCACATGTATGTAGCAAGGGCCAAAGAACGATATTCAGCTTCGCAGATGATCCAGCAACAGTGTGTTGTTTTTTGGCAGAGCAGGACATTTAGTTTTGGCCAAAGAAAATACTAAAACCTCCAGTGGACCTTCTACCATCAGGGCAACTAGTCCAATCAGAATTAGAAAAAGCAATCAAAGAGGAGGAAGGAGTCTTCCCAATAAATAAATAAACCAAAATCAGCAGTATGCTTCAGGTATCACAAAATTCTTTTAACAGCAGTCGAATGTACATCAGTAGGAGCACGAAGAAATTGACAAACTTTATTGACAGCAAAAGAGATATTTGGCCTAGTAAATGACTGATACTGAAGACTCCACCCAACACATTTCGGTACAGAGTTATATCTAAAAAAAGTTTACCATGCAGCAAAGACATTTGAACACCAGAAGCCATAGGAGTGAGCATGAGTTTACAATAGAGCATATTTGTCCCCCCCCACCCCCCCCCCCCCACAAAAAAAAGATCAACAATATATTTTCTCTGAGTGAGAACAGAGCATTTGAAATGGGTGTGGCTTCCAGACCCAAAAGAAAAATGAAAATTGCCCAGATCCTTGACTGGAAAATGCTTGTCAAGCAAATTAATAAAATAATTAACAGAAGAAGCATCAGACCCAGTTAACATAATATTATCAACATAGACCAAAATATATAAAACAGAGGAACCTGTCAAACACACATATGAAGCCAACCATATGTATTTAATATACAATCAATCTCTCTTTGTATTTGAAGTTTGACTGTTGTAACAGCAGCATAGAACTCATCACCGAATCAAAACACAGGCATGCTATATAATTAATATAATTAATCAATTAAGTTGAAGAGTGAGATGATGAAGTTTGAGCTAGAATAGTGAAGATTATATTCTTGTTGATCACTTGCTTATAAGAAAATTACCGAAGCATTTTGAAATTCTAAAGCTCAATTCATATGATAGACTAATTCCCTAGGGGGCTTTCAAAAGTTTAAGGCATATCGAATATTTTCTACCCCATATGATGGACTAATAATAGTATTATACGCATATCTTTGATCTTAAGAGATTGTGATTAATGAGACGACGATAATCATTCACTCATTACATTTCCCACGTGAAGACAAACGAATAACAAATTACACTAAATTAACCTCCTTTAATTACCTTATCTTTAAAAATCTATATATAGCTCATTTGTGTTAGGATGAAGCCTCTCTTGAGCAGATCTAACACCCTCCATCTTCAACATCTCAAGCAGGATATCACTCCACGTGTCAAGGGCCCAGGCAGCACCAATGAACACAATCATTATACAAAGTCACATTCTCTTCAGCCTTATGCCCATACCTACTTGGATGACCATCAGGTCTCATCAACATCGCTTGTGTCGTATCAAAAACCCTAATATTCAAACCCTTCTTTCTAGCTTCTTTCATGGCGATCTTATACTCCTCCATTTGTATCATATAAAACTCCAAGTCTATACCTTGTAACTGTACCTCATTGCTCTTAAATGGCTTCGTCCTCCTCACACAGTCCCACCTTCATTCCACAGTCCATTTTCAAAGTGTGAAGGTGCAAAAGTTCTCAGAAAAGTAATGCCTTTGAAGTTTTCCGTATTTAAGATGGTTTTGAACGCCGTCCGGAAAGCTTTCCGGTAACCGTAGTACATGGTTAGGTCAGGGACGTTGGGGAGGAGGCAGTAGTGGCAACCGACGACGGTTTGCTTCTCGTAGAAGACCATGGACCTCATGAACCAGTGGCCGCCGTTAAGAATGATGTAATCAAAGTCGGCGATTTGGGTGGCCCACTTGTCGTCAGGCTCGTCGAGGTAGAGGTTGTAGATGCCGGAGTTGGTTGGACCGCCGGAGTCGGCTTCTTTGGACTTGACTAGGTGTGGTGTCCAGAAGGTGGCCATGGTGAAGTTGTAGTTAGGGTACTTCCAACGCTTGAAATAGTCGTCTTGTGTCAATGATACGTCTATTGGCATTCTGCCTGAAATAATTTAGATAACATTAATTATGATCATGAGAATAAAAAATGTATTAACTAAAGAATGTAAGTCCTTTGTAATTAATTACATAATTGTATAATCATGGAAATAAGAATAATGAGTTAAAGTATGTATTATATTGATGACTTCAAGTCTAATTAAGCTAGTTGCCCAAGTTAAATTCCAGATCTTTTTGGTTATAAATGACTGCGTACTATAATGCAATCCAAAAATAAAAAGAACAAAAATATAATGAATGTAAAACAAGAAAGTGATGAATTAACTTAAACTCCTACGTAATTTTAGTTTCACAAAACTTGTATGACTGTAAAAAAAAAAAGTTACATTTGATGGATAAGTAGAATTTGTTAAACTTAATTTTTTTTAAATATTTCTAATGTTGGTAATGCCATGCATATATAGTGTCAAAAAATATTTATTTATCTACTGTTGTTGGTCGAGTGGAAAGCGACTTAATTGCTTTTAAGCAAAGTTGACAGTTCGAGGCTTCGAGCTATTGTAAATGAAAAAAGTCAAGTTAAAAGATTTTGCTTCGAATTAGATCAAGTAGGCTGACATTAGACTTAGTAATGCTAGATATCAAATAATAATATCCAAATTAAATTCTCTATAATATATATAAAAAAATTCTATAGTATATATTCTCTATAATTAATTCTAATATTATTAATCTTAATTTCAGTTCCTGGTCAGTGAAGACTAAAAGAGAAACGCAACATGATACGATGCACGAACTCTAAGTATCCAGCTAACAAATATATATTATATTTGTAAGAGAACTTTTAGGCACGAGACACACGGAAAGTGATATTAATAATGCATTAGTATATGGCACAATAATTCATAATCATGGTGACTTTTCATCCACGACATCTCAATTTAGATATTCATCTTCTAGGCCCCATCATATTTGTCTTTAAACCTAACAAACATATAATAATAAGTACACACAGATGAGAGAATTCAAATAACTGAGTCTGTGTGCCTTTTTAAAAAAAAAAACAAATGATATGGGGAGACCTCTGTGATAATTATAGCAACATTAAATTATGTATTATTGAGAGTACACTTAAAAAAGATACACTTCATAACTAGATAATGACAATTATTGGCTTGGGCTGTGTGGTTTAAATTATTTGTTTGACACAAATTATACTAAATTATGGGCATTATATACTTGAAGATATATGTTAGAAAACAATACACTATTTTCTGTTGAAGAAAAAAAAAACAGTTTTTGTGTGTTGTTATTCTTTTATATCTAGAATATTTATATTTGATTTGAATTTTATTTTTTATTATTTTCATTTTATATTTAAAATACATTATTTCTGTATTTTTCTCTGATGATGAAAAGTAAAAAGTTAAAAAATAGAATAAAACTAAAATGTCTAGATCACATCTTGACTGGTTCAGGTCTATTAAAAGATATTGTAGCACTTTTTTCTCAATTTCCTTAGTTTAATAAGAATTTCAACGACTATTGGATTTCTTAAAAGGCCTTTTTAATCATTATAGTTTTCTATTCATATAGCAGCCATTTAAACCATTAACAAATATGGGTTGGGAATTTTTAATGTACCATTCTTTAACGTATCTTATAATATTTTAACTTTTTAATTTTTTTAAATTATTACTTTTATATAAAATAAGAGACATTTGAATATTTTAATATCCTAAAATGATAAAGATTTATATTTTTTATGATTTTTAAAAAATAAAAGAATATATTTGTGATATTTTTCTTTAAAAAAAATCATAAAAATACAAATCTTCATTATTTTAGGATATCAAGATATCTAAATGTCTCTTATTTTATGCAAAAGTTAATGATCTAAAAAAAATAAAAAACAAATTGAGAAGTTGAAACATCATAAGAAGCATTAGAAAATGACACATTAAAGGCCTATAGTCGAACAAATATTGAATGGCCAAGGACATACAGTATGGCCTATAATTTAATTATGCGCATATAAAACAAATTGAATTTAACTGTTTTGCAAATTGCTTTGATTGCCAAAGACAGTGAGAATGTACCTTTTTTAATTATCATCATCATCATCATCTTAAAATATTTGAAATCTTACTTTTCAAATTTATTAATGTACTCTTAATGAGAGAAACTTTAATTAGATGCATTGGTGTCCTAATCTAAATAATATTGTTTGTTATAAATTAATTCAATATTGATATTGATATTATTAACTAATTTTAAGTT